AACGTTTGGGGAGGAAATACAATGAGGAATATACGATTATACGCGAAAACTGGACTCCACGGGTTCACCGGGCAAAACTGGAATTGTGGCTAATTATCCGGCGACCTACCAATTATAATATTCTACAAACCTATCAAGCACTAGTATTTCATTGATTTTGTTATCCTATTAATTTGTATTTTTTCTTCCATTTATTTATCTGTGTAGTTATCCATTATATGACATTTGGTTTCAGTTGAACTGAAGCAGAGGTGTCTTTTTTTTTTCATTCTCTAACAGGCAGTGTATACTTTACAAACTGTCATACTGGATAGTTGATTTTCTACTATTTTTCTACAAGGACTGGCCTAGGAGGGATAAGCACTGCCTTCTCTCAACTCCAGATTTCCACTTTAACCACTGTGATAACTTACCAATTACTTGTATTTCAATAACTTACGAAATACTGCTCTTCTGATAACTCACCAGTTAATAGTATTCCACTTATCCTATAATTGTCTGGCACTAGCTTTTGATAACCTACAAAATAAGAATACTCTGGAACTTACTGTTTGTTGTATTCAGATATTGACGCTTTGCTACTCAGGGACACCTGCGTCAGCTCGTCCCTAATTTTGGACCGGTAGAGTAAAGGGAAAGCAGCTATTGAACAGCTTCCACCAACAATACTTGAGCTACTCTTATTTGACCGAATAATTAGATTTGACAATCAGTCTAGTAACGCACCATCGGCTTCAAAGTGCAGAGTGAAATTATTTGAATGGCGATAACAGGACTTCAACGCATGTCCTGCATATCCATAGTCCAATACGTTTACCGCTGTGCCTCATTAATTAAAAAGCCTTGTCGTTACTGTAAAAAAGAGAAAAAATTATAGATGCATTAGTACACTGTTAAGTATACACGACTGTTTTAAATTAAGTATAGTGCAAGTGTTAAGTTTAGTTATTTTTAGGAGCGATAGTTTATTGCAGGTTTGTTTACTTAAATGTGTTGTGATTTGGCGCTTGTATGATTGCGTCATGTTCCTAGAACCTTCTGAGTTTCTCGTTGTTTTGATCGAGTATTAGTATATCTTAATATCTGATAGTACAGCATGTGGAAAGTTTTTGTTCTCAGTTGGGCTATTTATAAATACGAGTCCAACATGTAGTTCAACTCAGTTAGCAACAGATATAGTCAAATAGATCTAGGCTGCGTGTTTGTGAGTTTAGCCATAAAGAGCGTATATCGATTATTATAAAGTGAAGTATCACATATTGTGTTGTAATAACAGAGTAGAGAAGAAATAATTTGTCTTGTCAGTTGTGTTCTAAAGTAATACAACAGACCTATATGGACTTTTGACGAGAAGAGACAATTATTTAAAACTCTGGATACAATTGTGGTAACCAACAGTGAACTTATCGCCGATTGTGTTGTAATAACAGAGCAGAGAAGAATAACTAGTCTTGTCAATTGTGTTCCGAAGTAACTGAACCAGCCTGTGTAGACTTTGACGAGAAGAAACGATTATTTAAAACTCTGGATACAACTGTGGTGATTAACTGTTTAACAAACATTTGTATATACATTTGACTTTAAAGCAAGTAGACTATGTACTGTTTGTTTATTGTTGAAATATATCGCCAACTACACACAGACACCTGCTGTAGAGAATCCGGCCAATACATACATATAAAAACCTGACATACACAGATTCAAAGACAAAAACATGTTACACATAATGAGAAAATAGATGTAAGCCTCTGAGCATATACCAAGACATTATCAGTATTCATTGAAGTTATTTGAGATTTCCTTTTTGCGGAATTAGATCGTCATATATTCTGTTTTATACGCGTGTGTCTTTGTTTGGTTGAACTTTTTTTATAAGTATAAACTGATTTAATCATTGATAAAAGCCAGAGGCGCCACTAGGTACTTAAAATATTCGGGTCCCCAACCGTAGGCCCGGGAATTTTCAGCGCTTAAGTGTAATGTTGATCATGGTTTTCTGACCTGATTTTTAAAGACACTAACTGGGGATTCGGAGCACTGCCAAATAGAATCGGGGCATGGGCTCCAGTGCCCGCATCTAGCGACGCCTCTGATAAAATCTAAGAAATAAAAAAATATAATTTACTTTAAAATAATTCTGATTATCAGCTTAAAGTAACAACCTACCAGTTATTATTCTTCTAATAATTTGATAAGTATGAAAGGCTAGTAATTGAATAGACTGGTTCAATATTGTCATTTTTAGGTTGCCGGATAATTAGCCATAAATTCCAATTTAGCCCAATGAACCGTGGAAGACCAGTTTTTGCTTGTTATCCTCATTTAGTTTCTCCACAAATGTTCATTTACCCTATAATATTATCATTTCAGCAGCTTACCATATAGTTAGAAGTGGCTCTCCCTGGCGACTTTCTTAGTTGGAGGAGAGAGGAAGGAAGCTAGGCTCACTCTTACTTTAACCCCTGGGTTATCAGAAGATTAGTAATTAATAGGTTGTCGAAAAACTGGTAATTAGTAAGTTGTCAAAAGACTATTAACTAGTTATTGGTAGGAAAAGTTATTATTAGGTTGGCGGAAGATTAGTAATTTGTAACTTGAGATATAAAAACACTAGTGATTAACAGGCTAAATAAACGCTATTAATTAGCAAATTATATTTTGATACGTTATATGGAATACTATAGACTAACGATTAATAGTATAATAGAAAACTATAAATCAGCAGAATAGTTGAAAATTATATTTTAAATAATTGACGGACAGCTAGAAATTACTAAGTTGGTAGATTTGTTTGTTTTGTTGTAGCGGAAACCTACATAATAGGATATTTGTGCTCTGTCCACCGCTGGGAGTCAAACTCCGGATTTTATTATTGTAAATCAGTAAACGTGCCGCTTATGCACCTGGGGACGTAAGGTGGTGGAAGACTAGTAATTATAGATTGTTTAGTTTGCTGAATTTCGCGCAAAGCTACAGGGAGAAAATGTGATTATATAGCTGAATAATGAAATTATGACAGTTAAAAAATAATAAGAAACTTAATGATTGATTGCTCTGTTTATTATATTCCAGTCAAAAAAAGAAACAAAAACAAAAAAAACTCTAAAATGTGCTCGCAATCTATCTACCTAAGATTCATTAAGCCGTAAATGGGCCTAAACATATTAATGTGGTTGATTGAATTCATGGAAAGGAGATTCCATTATTTCTGTTATTGAACATTTATTATCTTTAACGCAAGTTAACGTTAACTACATTCATAGATGGCGGCACCTCTTTTTCTGCTACCTCTTCCAACAAAGTCGCCCTGACAATCGCACAGTGTATACCATGTTTTATGTATATACATATTGAGTTCTTAAAGCTTATACAAAACATATGGCGAGTTAATATTAAACACTGTGATAATATGTTATAAATAAATTGTGTGAAAGTTGGGATTTTGTGTTATTTATCACAGCATCCACCCACACATTTTGTAAGTTCATAACCCGGGCAAAGGACGGATACCTCCGCTTGTATATATATATATATATATCAACCGTAATTAATAGGAACCGCTTTTAGATTTATTCCTTTATATATCAAACACAAACTTTATAGTCATATAAAATTATTTTCCCCTCAATTCTCGATAAACTGTGTATGCTTGATGTTATTTAAACTACAAAATTCATCGTAACCTGTCTAACTAGACTTACCTCGCCTAATTTCTGTAAAAACTTTTACTAGTAATCTTTACCATATAAAAGAGAAAACTTTGAAATTGAAAGTTTGTTTTACATGCTTTTGTATTAAAAGCATATATATATTTCAGTGGCGTCTCGCAGTTAATACTACGGAGGAGGAAGGTGATATTTTAACCCCAACCCCCCTAAACAGTAAAACAGGTTCTTAGTTTAGGCATGTCGATTTATTTATACATGAATTCGAATAATCGGTCTTTCATGGCTATAAACACAAACAATGTCGTCGTGCCGGATAAGTCCTAACTCTAAAACTCCGAAATAACTTTCAACTCAAGATAAATCATCGCAATTTTTAACCAAGTTTTTATACATCACTTAATGTAACTCACTTGTAGTTGTTTATATCCTTAAAAATTTTAAATAATCACAGACACATTAAGTTTGTATCAAATTTGATCACAGCATTCTTGCGAGGCTAGCGTGATCCTCAGTCACGGTTTTAAACTTTTCAAAAATGATTTTCACTGGTTGTTTTTAAACTAGATTTTAACTGACTACTTTGGCTCTTCGGCTGTTTCCATCTCAAGCATAGAGAAATTGTACAGATCAAAAAGTCGAGAAGTACAATTGGTTCTCTCTGCCTCATGCAGCAAGATTCTCATCAACAGAGCGAGAAAGAAGATTTTCGAACGTTTTGCTACAAAACTATGCAGTTTATCAAGAATTTTAGTCCAAACAATAAATTAAATATAAGTATTATATAAAAAACAAGAAATGTTTTATTTGTTCAAAATATTTTTTTTCTCCTATGACAAGCCACCGTTGGTATGGTATACAATTAATACTAACCGATGCGAAAATTGGTGTCTATAAATGACAAGAAATCAGTTGCATAGGTTAGTTATCAACGTTAACTTTGTGCATATCAACCACAAAAATATACAAATAAAAAATAGTTAATTACGAATTATTACTCTACGAATAAGCTGAAAAGAAAATCTTTGATGAGATTCAAATCCACTTATAAGTTTACTCATTTAATATTTGTTAAAGTTTTATCCTCTAGCCTTCTGCTAATTTTAGATCCATCGGTGCCTGTTTCCTTTATACTTTTCTTTACATTTTATAATATGTATACTTACAAAGTCAATATTCAGAGATAAAGCTTTCACTCTTTTCTTAATTTGTTTTGTTTTTCACTTATCCAGGTTCGAAAAATGATCAGTTACATCGTATCGCCATGACAGGAATGGGAATCCTAGTAGTCATACTAATCGGTATCCTAGTCATATATTACTTGAAGAAGTAAGTAAACGTCTTAACCATACTTAGAAAAAAATACACGTCACGTTTGACATATAAACTAAGGTCAAATTCTTTAACTAAATAAAGGAAGTAAAAGTAAAAAATTGTTTAAAAACTTAATAAGGTAAAAGTTAAAAAGTTCAATGGCAAAATAAGGTTGTTGTTGTTTATTATTAAGCACAAAGCTACACAAAGGGCTATCTGCGCTCTGCTCACCACGGGTATTGAAACCCGGTTTCTAGCGGTATAAGTCGCAGACATACCGCTGTGCCACTGGGTGGCAATAAAATAAGGAACATAGAAATATAAAGGTAACTAACAAAATAATGGACGTAAAAGCAAAAAAATCTCACTATGAATTTTGTGATGCAATATATTCGATTATCAACACTTTAAACATAGTCAAACAAACACTGAATTAAAAACATTTTTATTCTTTTAATAATGCCTTTTAGTGATGCCTTTCTGTTCAAGTAATAACTGAAAACAGAACTGTATACAGAGAACCATATTCCTTATACCATATTAACTTTCTAAAGTGTTTTACGTCTATACTCAAAGTTCTTTCTACTTATGAATTGAAGGCAGAATTAATTTTTACTTCTATTTGTACTGGGCAGAGAGTTCGAAAAGTAATGTCAGTAATTGCTTTCAGCTGCGAGTGTGTTATATAAAGGACAATCAATCCAGTTATTCCATTTTTACTTCTATTTGTACTGGACAGAGAGTTCGAAAAGTAATGTCAGTAATTGCTTTCAGCTGCGAGTGTGTTATATAAAGGACAATCAATCCAGTTATTCCATTTTTACTTCTATTTGTACTGGACAGAGAGTTCGAAAAGTAATGTCAGTAATTGCTTTCAGCTGCGAGTGTGTTATATAAAGGACAATCAATCCAGTTATTCCATTTTTACTTCTATTTGTACTGGACAGAGAGTTCGAAAAGTAATGTCAGTAATTGCTTTCAGCTGCGAGTGTGTTATATAAAAGACAATCAATCCAGTTATTCCATTCAAAGAGCCGGACAAAGTTCTTATGGCGGCGGGTGCTGCTGGCTAGCTTCCCTCCCTCTGGCCAGTAGCTGAAAACTAGGGACGGCTGTACCTCAATCCTAACCTAGCCGCTTGACCCACGTTTGCATAAGGCACTATTCAACTTGAATATTCTAACTATGTCTGTATAACAATAATATGACAACCATTGATCCCAGATGTCGGCTGTCATATTTTCCCGAAATATTAATGTCTGCTCAAAATCCCAGCCCTTTCAAAATACACATTTGACAAGTGATCTACACACAAACACACATATGAACTGAAATTACATTCAAAGAAAGCGCTTGTACTTTTTATTGCAAATGAATGTAATGTGTGTAGGCCCAGTATTGGTTTAATTGTTTCACAGCTGCCAGTGTTTGACACCGTGATAACATTAATTGTAATGTATATTTTAATATTAGAATCAGTTCGACAAATCACACAGGTTTTCTTTAAATACAAGAGTGTATCAAAGCATGTGGGTAATTATTATGTAACGAATCAACACAATTGCTAGGCCTAACCATCTTTGTTTACCGACTGGTGATTCTATCCTACACATTTTAAATTTATTTATTCATCATAACCATGAAGTGTGCCAGAGTTGGAATACATAACACAAAGAAACTTAACTGCCACCTGCTGTTTGAATATTTGATCACGCCAATAAAAGTTGATTAAGAAATACCAGAACATTAATGTGTTAAAACCAAAGAATTTTAGCAACATTTACGTTTAAAACGCTTCATGTAAAAACTAAATCATATACACTGAAGCATAGCGACGAAGTCATATACGTTGAAGAATAAAAACGTACCTTCATTGTTGGATTTTGGCTTTTGAGAGATGAAGGCTGCAGCGGCTTCCAAGATTTTGTAAAAAGAAAAGAATAAAAAAAATAACTCAAAATAATTCTGCTGATGATCTTTTTAAACTTGGTACGTTATTCAAAACGTTTCGTAGCTCAGCATAAACGATATTGCATAGGAAAATGAAATTAGACAGGAATGTTAAGTTTACCATGCAGATGCAAATGCCACAATTGTTACTATGGCCTAATGTATGATCAATTGCAGCAGCTGTTCAAAATGTGTTTCTCCAGCGTCGAGAATGCATTGCATCCGTGTGGCAATGGGCATTACGATAACAAAACGAATCTCATCTAGTATGCTGGCCACTTCCTGGACAACCGAATCCTTGAGGTCTAGTTGGTGTTCCATTCAACTTGAAATTATTCTGTCCTGAAAGTGCTCCCGCAAAACGTGTTTCACCTGGTTACCACTATGTGGAGAGGCACCACCATGCACAAACACTGTCATGTCTATCACATTTAGTTGTTGCAACATGGGATTAACAATGGTATTGTACGTTATTTGGTGTCATGCAACATTGACTGATGGTTCTTCAAAAGAGTACGGTCCAGTAACCAAGTCAGCTGTGAAACCATACCACACACCTTATCATCAAAGAGATGTGTAGGAAACGTTTCTTATGGATTATTTGCCGACTAGATAATGTGGTTGTGCACGTTGACGCTTTCAGAAAGGTTTCATCAGTTCATAAGATATTGTCAGGCCATTGGTCAAGAACTGCAACGCAAAATCAACACGTCGAGTTAAGTCCGTATCTTTCAGCGCCTGAACATGATGCATCTTGGTAGGAAGCATTCGCAAAGTTACCAAAGAACCTTTCAAACAGCTAGAGTTGCTAAATTCAGACACAAGGTGACATATCGTGTACTGCTGCATTCACGTGCGCTTGTAATGGCGTGATCTGTAATGGCATACTGATTTTAGCAATATTGTTTCAGTAGGTCGGTGACCGCCTGGACTTGGCTTATCAAAATTGCAATCTGTCTCCTTAATTTTTTATGAACTATCACACAAAAAAGTCCCTCTAATCAGAATGTTATGCACTCTTCGGTCTTCTCTAAGAGTTGCCTCGTCATTATATCACGAGTTTACTTCTCCCAAGTTGGTTGAGTTATCTGCACTGCGGTATATTACACTATATTTAACGTGTTATATAACGAAGGTGGATGCTTTATATTTAAAGTGTTACTCTTTTTTTTCGTTGGAAAACGTAAAACAGTTCCACAGGAACCATAAATGAATTATTTTTAAATAATCACACTTATGGCTTTTATTTATAGTTCTTGCATGAAACTAAAACAAACTGAAAAATTAATTTGTTTAAACATATTAATAACAATATTGGTTGGCTTACTTTAAATTTTTTTATTAAATGACTTGTTTAATTTGTTTAGCCCTCTTATCATAATTTTTATATTTCACCCTATTTACGTCAGATTCTTCGAAATCATCAAAACTGTTTTAAGGTAAGAACTCTTGTTAATTATGGGTTCATATATATGTATAGATAGATAGCTTAGGTGGTCAAAGGACGAATAGTGGTAAATAAAAACAGCCGTGAATTGGTTTTGGTTTTCACTTATACTTCTGCTAATGAAACTGATTTTTATCTTAACTGCTGTTCGAATCATTTATTTTTAACGTACGGTCGTAATGAAATACCGATATAAATGAATAAAAGTGATTCATTGTTATCAGAAACAATATGCTACATCTGTTGACATTTGAAATTTATATATGTAATTAATTAAAAATATAAATCAATAGGGCCTATACAGAAATCTCAAACCAAATATTGATAGTAATGGAGTAGCAGGATTAGAACAGACTCCTCTTTTTGCAGTCGCTTACAATGTCAAGGGAATGACAGACAATAAGACATTGTTTATTTTGATGCAGGAAATTGAAACTGTTCAAAACTTGTAGTTTTCAAATTCACAGAATATAGGTTTTGTTTCAAATGCGAATTTATGTTTGTCATACCATAATATACTATATAAAACACGATGAAAAATGGATAGTTGATCTAGCTGGATAACTAAGCAACATCAAACACTCTCTACCAGTAAAAGAGTATAAAAAGAGGGTGCAGAAGAAACTACATGAAAGCTTAGCTTTAATCAAATGTGGTATTCTCAAATTAAATTTTTCCCCCACAAGTATTAGATAATTGATACCTCTTCATAGATAGTACCTGCAACAGAGCAACAAAGAAACAAAAGCAACTAGGATGAAACAACGTTTTTCTAGAACCACGTAGTTATGCCAAACATTCGTAGAACAAAAAAATTTAACTTAGATTACCTACATCATTTAGAAGGGGTAGTCTAATGTACTACGCGGTATAATAGTAC